CGCCCGGCGCGGGCAGCACCACGGACAGCGCCGCGTGCCCGCCTGGCCCGCTGGAGCCCTAACCTGGGTGAGCACGGGGCTGGCGCGGAGCCCGGTCCTGGCACGGCCGGGCCACGAGATTGGGGGCTGACCTGCAGTCGCATCTGGGGACCCGCATCTGGGCTGCTCGTCTTCTTAATGTCTTGGCCCCGGTGACCCCTACCCGACCCTCGGAAACCCAGGCGCCTGTGGGGACCTGGGGTTGAGTGGGGGGAACGCCTGCACCCCGTTGGAGGACTTGCCCGCGGGGCTCCTCCTCACTTCCTGCTTTGGAGAAGTGGGTTTCTGGAGGGAGAAACCTCCCGAGGAGAAGGGGTAGAAGGGGTCTCCGAGAGAAGTGCCCTGACCAGGGGCTCGGGCCCCTACGCACGGGACCCTGGGTCTCAGTCTTCCCGTGGGCAAGGCCCAGAGCAGGGTCCAGGGTGACCTGCAAGGTACACACAGATGTGGAGTTACATAAGGGAAGACGAGCCTAAGCAGACTGAGCTGGGATCAGAGCATGCCCACCCAGGACTCAGCAGGCTCCGGGTGGAAGGCGGAGCGGCAAGTATTTTGGAGAGGGGCCACGGATTCGGCGGCTGGCCAGCGCGGTGGGCTGGTCACTGCTGCAGCGGACAGGCGAGGTCACTGCACTAGGGGCGCAGCCGGGGCGGCAGCGGCTGCGTTAGCGCCGGCGCGGGAGGGGGCGGAGGAGGAGAGCCGGCGGGAGGGAGCGCACCCGCCCTCGCCACACGTGCTGGGATACTCAGGGTCAAGGACGGAGTTATCTGGCGAGGCTCAGGGCAGACAGACTGACATGCCCACGCTCAGACACATAGACCTACAGCCAGGGAAACAGCCACCCAGTGACAGGCTGGGACCCGAGAAGAGTCAGACATCAGACAGCAGACAGGGAACAGTGCCCGAGGGAGAGGGAAGCAGCGACGCTGCTTGGTTGCCAGTGGCACACATCCGTGAATGCCTCAAAGAGGACAGAAATGAGCCTCCCCACCCCCCGCCGCGCCGCAGGCTGCTGGGGGAGGGGCTGCAGGAGGACCCCAGGCGCTGCATGCTGGGCTCCCATACTGACAGCCGCTTCTCGATCTTGTGGGGATCGGGCCCTCGCCGCAGCCCCAGCGGTCCTTGGAAACTTTGGGGCATGGGTCAGGGAGCCTCTCTGCTCGCTGTTCAGGCCTGATTGCAGAGATGAGGCCCCAGACCCGTGGCCCCAGCCCGCCCCCTGTGCACCGCCTCCAGGAGCCTGCTCTGGAGGAGGGACTGATTCTGCCGCACCCTCTTCCTGGAAGCCCTCCCCGATCGATCTCCTCTTACAATCTCCCTAGTTTCCCCCACTCTACCTCACCCCAATTTGCCCTGTGAGCAGGGGCTGCACTGGGACCAGGCACATACCTAGCGGCAAGGTGGGACATTCCCTGGAGTGGCAGGCGGGGCTGCTGGACCCCACAGCACCGCTGTGCAAGGCTTCCTTTGGCCTGATGGGGGCAGGGCTCACCATCTCCACCCCTAGTGAGCGTCTCCACCATGCCCTCTCCTCCCGCCACCCCGAAGGGCGGCTCCAGCCCAACAGGCATTGTGCCCCTGGGGTCTCAAGTGATAGAGTGGCCGGGGGCTGAGAAGGGGACTCTGGTTCTCACTCACCAGCTGAGGCCTCAGTGTCCCCACCTTGGCACCTCAGTCAGGAGCTGTCTGTGAAGTCTGTCGGCCCCAACCGCATCTGTCCTGGTGATTGTTACTGAGGAGACTCACAGGAGGCTAATCAAGCTGGAAGTTTGATACCCCAAGAAGAACAAAGGCCGGGGGCCTGGGGGTTCCTGTTGGCATTTCTCCTCTCCTGTCTTTCATCTACAAATGTCCAGACCTCCAAGTACCTGTTTGTCTGCTGCCCATCCCTAGGGCAAGCTGGGGCCAGGCCACCTGGGCAGAAGGCACTTCCCTGGGGATTTCTCTGCCCCAGTAGCTGGGTAGGGGCTGCTCATCCGCCATTGCTCCACAGTTGTTCTGAGGACTCGCAGCCTATGGCAGTGGTGAGAACAGAATGTCCTTCACACATCAAGGGCAGATGGTGCATTCCCGTTCTGCGTGTCACCTGAGAAAGGGGCCACGCCCTTCTAAGGGCGCTCAGCTAGGGTTGGGGGTAGATCCAGCTCAGACCCTGGCACTGAGGGTCCAGCCATGTAGTACCAGGGTGAGCTACCAAATTTCTCTGAGCCTGGAGATCTTCCTCTGTAAGCGGGGGCCGGCGGGCATGCGGATGCCCCAAGCTCCGATAACAGTGTCTGCTGGGGTGGGCACCCCCTACTGTCCAGACTCCTTGCTCGCACTTACTTACACACATGACCTTACTAGCTCCTGGACACACTAAGAGTGAGCAGGACATCCTTGTTCAGAACCTACAAGCCACCTACCTAGGATCCTGGAGCCCACTGTTTCAACAACCACGCCCCTGGCCCAGCCCTCGGGTGGAGGCGCACAAAGCCAGCGAGCATGCCCTTGTGGCCAGGACCCACACACAGGAACTGGCTGAGCCCTAACGCAGCTTAGGCGATGGATGTGAATGAGGAAAGTCTCCATGTGGCCCTCTGCACTGGAGGACTCTGTCCCAGGCAGTGGCGGTTGAGTCGTGCACTCTGTGTAGAAGAAGGAACATAGCCAGGTGAGACGAGCCGTGTGTTCAGGGGCAGTGACCAGTGCCCTGGCGGGTGGGTCAGGGTTTTCACTCCAGGAAAGTGCCTGGAGATGGAGATGGGGAGCTCTGAGCCCCTGGCGTGGGCCTGGTGTGTGATCAGGGGTGGTAGCCTGACGGGCTTTGCGTCACAGGCGAACACCCTCCAGAATGCATCTGCCACCAAGGGGTAACACTGACACGGTGGCCACATTGAGGCTGAGTGGCTCAGGATTACAGACTGCCACAGGGTGAGTCCACTGCTGCTGCTGCCTCTGAAAATCTGACCACCAGTCACAGTCCAGCTCCACGCTGCCAAAGACACTGTATTGAGAACACACTGGGCGCCCACTGTCCTGGTCCTCACTGGTGCCTGTTGTGTACCCCGTCCAGGTTTGGGTCTGCCCCTCTTACCGATAAAGCCTGCACCATGATGCAGGGCTCATGGCGTCCTGACCCATGGGTGTGACATCTGGCCAGGGGGCCCCCTTCCCAGCAAGGAAGGCCCAGGAATGGCCCGTGACTGCTGGCCAACCTTCCAGGAGCAACTGGCCTCATAGGACCAACCAGCAGGGACTGATCTTGCACAGGCACACAGCGTGGGGACAGTAACCTGAGGGGAAGGCTGCCATCCTACAGGATGTGGATTGTGAGTCGGAGACCTTTGCATGGCACCACATCTCAACACGAGAGGCACAGGCACTGAGGAGGCAGGAGTGAGGACAAGAGTGGCCCACTTGGCATCCTTCTCAGTGCTCCACCGCGGAATGGGTCATTCTGAAGCTCTGGGCTCTGCAGGGCTAGACGTCCTCGCTGGGCACACAGGAAGGGCTTCCCTCTCAAGGATGTTGAGTGCCTTGGCCGAGGGTTCAACAGACAGGAAGATCAAGGGTAAGTGGCTCTGACAAGCAGAGGGTGGGGTGGGAGGAACAGTGCAGGAGACCTCTTGCGTACCATGGTATTCCCTTCCCTGGTGATTTCTGTGGATGCACAGGTAAGCTCCCCTAGTACAATAGTGGGGTGCAGATCCCTCGGGTGGAAGATAACTCCCCAAGACCTACAGAGTGATTTCAGAAGACACTATTGGCATGAAAGACATGGAGCAGGTCGCAGGGTGTTGCGGCTTTGCTTTGAGTGTGTCCAGACTGACTTGTCGGAACTTCTGGAGCAGTGGTGGAATAGCGATTAGGGTCTGGGGTGGCAAAGCCGGCTGGTCGCCGGACTGTGTAGCGGTGCCATCCTGGGTGGCAGCTCTGCCCCCAGCTTCTCTTGCTGTGCCAGAAAAGACCTTTCTCCCTTGAAGCAGGGCGAGCCCAGTGGCACTGTCCGCAGAGCCCTGCTCCTGCTGTTCAGGACATGGCTCACTAATGAGAAATAATGAGGGCACGGGGGCCGCCGAGGGCCAGCTGTCCTGCTGGTGACAGCCGAGGCCCTCGTCAGGGTCTGGGTCCGGTGCCGTGCCACCTCTTCAGAGGAGCCGCTATTTGCTCTCTCATTCTGCAGGAGCTCATTTGAATATGGGAATGCAGATTTTTCCTTTTTTATTCCTCCCCCCTCCCCCCGCCCCATGACATTCTGAGCCAGCTCCAGGCGCATCCTGATGAGCTCAGGGCCTGGGTATAATAAAAATGGTGTCTGAGTCCACCGATTTGGAATCAAAAGCTGAGTCTCGCTCTCTCTACTTTGGGGACCAGGCAGAAGCAGGCCCAAGGCGCAGGTGTTGGGAAGGAGAGGGGGATAGATCCAGAGATAGAGCTGCTGCTCATTGTCTGCAAGTTACAGAAGCCAACTCCAGAAAGCCCCAAGGGAAATGAGCGCTTTTTGTCACCCAGCGCTAAGTCCGGGATGATGAACATCAGACACAGCTGCATCCAGCTGCCCCGCTGCTTCCCTTTCTCTGTTTGCTTCCTTCCCAGACACGATGTGTCCCTGAGATCTCTCTGTGCAGCTCCAGGCTGCCCCCCCCCTCCTCCACTCCCAGGAGGGACAGGGAGCCCATGAGAGAACCCCAGAGTCAGCCGCACTGGCCTGGCTCCTGCAGTCCTGTCGGCTGGGCTGACATAGGGTGTATGGCTGTCACTGAACCCCAGGCTGGCCGAGGAGGATGGAGGAAGAGTAGAGAGGGTGGTGTGGTGGCCAGCAGTGCCGAGGTCATCCCGGCAGCTGTCCTGTCCCCATTCTCCCAAGGGGCTGAAGAGCCACACGGACACGGCCTGGGCACCGAGCGGGATGGCCGGACAGCGGGCGTCTCCTCTCCGAAGGTCTGTGTCTCCGCTGCCTGACTGACCTGCACACAGGGTAAGGGCGAGGCACAGGGCGGGAAAGAGAGCGGGCAGTGTGGCAGAGCGGGGCGACAGCAGCAGCAGTGCTGGCCAGGTCTGCGCCCCCAGGTCTGGGCAGGCCGGCCCGGGAGGCCCCAACCCAGGAAGGCAGCCTGCAGCCTGCTCCCTTCCCTCCCAGAGCCCACGTGGCCAGCACAAGAGGCAGAGCTGCCTCAGCCCAGGGGCTGGGCCCGTGGACCCCAGAAAACTGCCTTACCTAGGGGTTGGGTGCCCAGGGGAGAAGAGAAGCTGAGGGCCAAGGGTCAGTACTGCAAAGGCTCCGAGGCCAGAGCCTCGGGACAGAGCAGTCTGTTGCTGGCTGGAGCCTCCCGGCCAGCTCCCTCCGCGCGGTGCAGTGTGTGCAGGCAGGGCTAGTGCCCCCTGGAGGAGGCCTTGAGGACCACGGTCAGATCCAACGGTCGTGAGCATAGTGCCCAGTGGGGGCTGCGGCGGCTGCAGGTGTCGGAACGATGACAAGCCCTTGGCCGCAGAGCAGACACCTTCCTCATGGAGGCCTCTCTGCGGGACCGCACTTCCGTGCCTCCTCCGTACCACCCCATCCCCATGCTGCTGCCCTGCCTGGCATCTCCCCTCTGACCCTCTCTACCCGTGTCCGTCTTGGGGCCTCTGGCTCTGGGTGTGTGAGTGTGTGAGTGTGTGTGTGTGCTCCCAGGCTGTTGGCAAACGTGGGGTCCCCGAGCCTCCATGGAGCTCTTCTCCCTCAGCCCCCCTTTACAGCCCTCAGGAGCAGAGGATGGCTGAGTGTGAGCACAGGCCGCTCTGAGCTGCTTCCTGGGGGAGGGGACAGCCTGGCCCCACCCCTGGAGGGGGGCGGCTCTCTGTTTTCACCCAGGGTCCCCTGGGATTCAGGGTGGCTCCTTGGAGAACCAGCGCCTGTCAGGAAAATAACAAATGAGCCCAAGAGCGCTCAGAGCTGGGCGGGCAGACCTAGTTAATGAAGCTGAGGCCTGGGAGGAAGGGTGGGCCTAGGGGTGCTCCCGGGAGTGGGGCCGGGCGGGGGCACCTGGGTGTGTGTCTGTGTGTGTGCGCGCACGCGCGTGATGTGTTCGTGTGTCTGCGTGTTCCCTGACACAGGATGGGCACCTGGAGGAGGTTGACTCTGTCTCCTCCCTCTGCGCAGGAGACAGGTTGGGGTCAGAAGGGCCCCTCCCTCCACAAGTGCTGGGAGGGCTGAGTCAAGGGATCGCTGTGGAGGGAGCGCCCCCGCCCGGGTCTGGTCTGGGCGTGGCCCAGCACTAGTTGGATGCACACACGTGCACGCTCACTCACACAGCCCATGCACACGTGCACGAGCACACAGCCAGGAAACGGGAAAAGTGAGGAAGAGGTCCGGCCACGCCGGGAAGCGTTGGGGCCCCCGGGCCCAGGGGACAGCAGGCGGAGGGCAGCGCCTCTCATGGTGGGAGAAGCTTGGTCTCTGAGGCTCCGGAGATTTCCTTGGGACCAGGAGTGGCATTAGTGCTTTCCGCCTCCAGCTGGGACAAAGCAGCAGCCCGAGGAACCCCAGCCCCCAGAGCTAGACTGGGGCCCATCTTCTGCAGAGGCCTGGGAGGGCGTCTGTGTCCCC